AATTATAAAAAAATATAACAGGTTTTTTTTAAAATATCATAATCATCTTTCCTAATATCTTCCTCCTCTCTCTTCTGCTTGATTATGATTGAAGAAATATATATAAGGATAATTTTAAAAAAATGATAAATATGATAAATATGTATTACATTTAAGATCAAAATCAATTCAACAATTAAATCCTATATTAAGGATTGGAGAACTACATAATTTAAAATAAAGATAGTCTTTTAATTATGATTTTTTTTTTAAAAAAAAATGACTTCTTCTTATTACGATGAGCACCATAATACTCATCTAATATGATAAGCACTAAACCCATTCATTGGATTGTGTTTGGGTGTTCATCACCTAACTGATGAGTATCAAATCTGAATTATTCAGATCAAATTATATTTTCAAAAATAAATATCAAAACATGAATTTGCTTTATAATAGAAGGGGGAAGGATATAATAGAATATCTTTTTCAGCAGTATCAAATATTTAAATGGGGAGAAGATTTCTAGTTTAAATCATTAAAAATTTTAGTAGAACGGTACGGATTTCTTTAGTGTGAGCACTGGAATTAGTTCCATTATTCATTTGAGTTTTAAATGTATAGATCTTTTAAGGAAGTAATAGTAACTTATATTTATATTTTCAAAGTTTTGCTAAATTTACATAAATTTTATGTCAAACAACATGCTTCAAATGCGAAATCATTTTCTATTGCCAAGCATATGGCTTTGCCTCACCAGTCACTTAGATTTGATATAGTCCAGCAGAATCGCGAAATACCACAGGCTCATTGCTGTAGTGAGATTGAAACCGCCCAAAAACAATTTCAACGGTCTAGATTTAGAATTTTCAATTGATGATTTTTATATAATAAAATTATTTTTTTCGAAAACTGATAGCTAAAAAATTATCTTCAGTGCTTTATTTGGTTCGATTTTACTTTTTATGACTATATATCGTTATTATGTTACAATTATTTAAGAAAACATTGGTTTCAATTTTGTATTCAAACCCACCATTAATTTATTATATGTGAGAAAACATTAGTCAATGAAGTGAGAGTAATTTCAGCGTCGGACTGAATCTTAAGGCTCATTGTTGTTTATGATCATGAACAGGCCCAATAATCATATGGATCGAAAGACCCACTTAGAGATTAATACCAAGGATGAGAAAAGCTCATTGGGCTTTGGAGCAGCGCCGAATATTTAGAAGGCACGAGAACATTTTAAGATTTAATTTTTTGAATTAGTTTTTTTTTAATAAAATACCCTTTAATTTGTTTGAATATTAACCGTATTTTTACTATTTTCTTCTTAATTAATATTCTATCATTATTTTTCCCCTCATGCATTCTCTTTCATCTTGTTTTTTTTTTTAACCCTCACCTGCCCACATATAAATAAGAATATATTTGAAATAAAAAGTACAGTTCCTACTTTTAATTAATTTTAATAGTTTTCTTAAGCCAGATAGTTTGATTATTTGAATCTTATAATGGATGAAGTACTTTAAAGGAAAAGCTAATCGAAGTCCTTATAGTTGATCTCTTCTTTTAATGTGGTCCTTACATTTTAAAAGCTTATAAATCACTCGCTATACTTTTGTAAGTTGTCTTAAATTTTTGTGAAAGATTTTCTATTTTGCCCTCATTAGTTACTTATTTTAATATTCGATATATTTATCATCTTATTTTTCAAACTATCATCTCTTTCTATCTTACATTTTCTCTTTTCATAATTCTATTTATTATAATTTTTTTATTCTCTTTCTTATAATCTCTCTCCTATAAATAAGAATATTTTGGAAAAAGAATTTTTGATTTGTACCCATTTATTATATTTAACTAATTTTTTGATATACATGATAGAGTCCAAGGTTCTTTATAAAAGGGGAAGGAGGGGTACTTTACAGTATTTATATTCATGGTTTTTTTCCCCAAATTAATTTGGTCCATTTATAAGTGGATATATGTAATCTAATGATACATATAAATGTTTTAGAGAGATTATGTAACATATACTATAATTAAATAATTTAATAACTTTTTAATCTTTTTAAATTAGTCAGTTGGGCCTCGTATTAAAAATTAGAATCAGTGTGCCATATGAAAAGTTCTGTTTGGCTCTGTTTCTTTTCTGCCAACAAAAACAGAGGCAAACGGAGTAACCATGTACTTTTGCTTGTTTCTAATATACAAAGTCATTATTAAGCCCAAAAACTCTCTCCAAAAAGGCATCACCCAACTCTTCTGAATTCTGAAAGATTGGAGGAGGGAGAAAGGTTGGGGAACCGAAGAGTTTGTTGCTAAACTTCTAATTGAAGGAGAGACGCTGGGGAATTCAAAATCATGTATGTCTTGTTCCTTTCTTCCTATGGTCCTTCAAAGCTTTCAAAAATGGTGTTCTCTCTACCTACAAAACACAAAATTTTGTGAAAATTCTCAATTGTCCAAGATGGATCAATATATTGACATTTACACCAAGAATGTTTTAAATAATTTTCTTAAGCTCAGAATGAATGCACATTTTCATTGTATAAAACTAACTTATGCACAATTCAACTCAGAAAGTGTGTCAAAATATGAGAAAATTGTGCCAAAATGATATGAATTTCCTAAAGTTATCATATTTTAAAATCCAAAATCAATTACATCTGCCCAGTTAGACTTCAAACAACAGAATCATATTTGTTTTTACTAGACACTAAATAATACTCTACCGGTCTTTAATATAGGACCTAATTGTTGAATTGATTTTGGTCCTAAATATAAGATCTATTTCTTATATTCATCAATTTTTTTCAAAATTATCCTTATGGATACTCCCTCAACCATAATCAAGTAGAAAACGAAGAAAAGATATTAAGAAAGATGATTATGATGTTTTAGGAAAAATATATCATATTTCTTATAATTAACGAACTTACCTAACTTTTTTAATCCAATCAAATTAATTAAATAGATCTTATATTAAGGACCGGACGAGGACATCATAAAAACCAACTCAAACTAGCAAAGAGCTCTCCTAGCCAACAAATCCTTGTATAGAATTCTTCCTGCCTCTTCAAAAATCCAATAATACAGATGCTCCTCATTATTTCATCACTGAGTTCAGACTAATAGCTTCAGCAATTCTATACTAGCAAGTACGAGTTAATCCAAGGTATAATTCATGATTTTAAATATGATTAAATTTATAATTTTTTTATTTTTAAACAAATCTAATGATTTAGCTATCCTTCTTACTTAGTTCTGGTATAAGTGTTTGGAAATATGTTTACAGAAGACCAAAAATAGTATATAATAAGGCAAATGATATAGACTGTCATTCATGCACGAAATTAAACTAAGCTAAACACTATGCATGATAAAATCATGTTAGTTTAATGCCTAATCCGATAGATCAGGCTAAATATATGACAGCGCATGACTGCGCATGACTTAGTCCTCAGAGCTGGTAGTTTGCTTTGTGAAACAAAAAACTTTAGACAGAAAATAGAGCTTAGATTTAAAGCTCCGAATAATTTCAAAAGTGGTGTTGTTATCAAAATAATGGAAACAATTAAAAAAAATAACGAAAATACTACATATTAAAAAGAATTTACACAAATATTATGTTACAAATCATTCGCATAAAGAACAAGTTCCAATCTGTGAAGAACTTGTTCATACTCGGACAACTTTCAACTCTTAACATTTTTTTTAGGGGAAAAAACAATGAAATCGTTCCTTTTGGTTTTTTGAACGGCTTCAACACTGCTTTTCCTTGCACACCTTTTCTTTTTTTGGGGGAGAAAAAAAACAACGACGTCGTTTCTTCCTTTTGTCTTTAGCGAAAATTACGATTAGGACCCCATTCAACAACTTCTTCACCACTTTTCTCTCTCCTTTTCTTTCGGAGAGAATTACTACTAAGGCCCCACAGACGTGCATCCTCCTACCATCTTCTTGCACCTTTTCTTCTTTGATCCTTTCTCCTCCCTTACATTAAAACGATAAATGGTTTGGATGTAATATTTTATGACATTATTATTAAAATATTTTATAAACTAAATTTTCTTGGACTATAGTATAAATTCACCAGAATAAATTTTAATATTTTAAATTTGTTATGAATATAATATCCTTATGGATATCCATGTATCTTTCATTATCTCTCTTATCTCCCAGTATCTTCAATATCTCCTATTATCCCCATTATGTGCAATTATCTTTTATTATTATATCTATAGATTCTATCAAAGATGCAAAGATGTGCCTATAAATAAAAGCCATGTATAATGTATTCAGCACCCTTGAATGGAATGAGAAATACTCTCTCTCATTAATATTTGTTTCTTCTCTATTCTTCTTTATTTATAACATGTTATCAGCACAAATGCTTTAACGATCGTATACTATTCTGACCTTCTGACAAACTCAATTATTTTTATATATTTTGGTATCTTTTATATGAGTTTTGTCAGCTTAATTGGTCTCTTTTTGCCTTAATTGATTTATTTTGTTTTATTTTGAATTATTATTTTATAGGGGCAAAATTGTCATATTTTGGTTTAATTGTGATTAATTGATTTTTAAGGACAATTAATGCTACCTTATTCTTGAATTTTGTTTACAGGTTTTGGAAGATTTAAAAATAAAAATGAAAATTTAAAAAAAGAAAAGGAAAAAAAAAAGGAAAAAAAATAATTAAAGAAAAAGGGGAGCAAAACGTTGCGTTTTGCTCCCCCAACCTAATATTCAATTAATCTTCTTCTTCATGGGACGCCGAAAAGAAGAGCTGGAGGCGCGGCCGAACGAGAGGGAAGCTGGAGCTGCGCGAAGAAAAAAACAGAGGAGGGAGAAGGCGGCACTGAAAAAAAACCACACACACACACGCGAGGCGCGGAGAAGCTGAACACGGAACAAGACGCGACACACACGAAACAGAGGGAGAACGACACACACGCGAGGCGGCTGGAGGGCACGGAGAGGCGAAACAGAGGAAAGAGCTGGCCGACGGCGTGAAAGGAAGGACCATTCATCATCTTCTCCGTTGAACCTTCCTGGTGGCAGGGGGCGCTCGACGGAGACACACGTTGGACGGCGGCTGAGAAGTAAAAAACAGAGCAACAAGACGCGACGCACACGAGAACCAACGGCAAGGGAGAGTGACGGCACCATTCTTCACCTTCGTCTTCTCCCGAGCACGACAGAAGCTGAAGACAACACGGAAGCGAGCTGGAGACAGCGAAGACCAAAAACAGAGGCGCGAGGGACCTGGTACGAGACCAGTAGCAAGGGAGAGTGACAGAGCAAAGGACCAGTCTTCACCGTGTGCACTGTTCCGTCGCTGTCTTTGATATCTCCACTGTGTTCTCCATGGCTGGATACGGCGGAAGACTGATTATGGCACTTTTGATGGCAAACCGTGGCTAGCTTCACAATTCTCTAATTCAACAATAATGACAGGAGCTTAGATCATCAAATGGGAGTTTAGTTACTTTAATTTCCTGTCTAATAATTGTTTAACAATTCCTAGGTCTTAGGATAGTTATTCTGATTATTAGAAAATCTTGTATTGCTTAATCTGATTATATTTGGAGATTATTGTGACTGAATTATTGCTTAGTATTTGACATTGGGCTGTTTATAGTTTTGATTTCAATTATAATGTTGTGGTTATGACATTTATATTGATTTTGGAATTAATATATTGTGATTTTCTAAGGTGGCTTGGAATTTTGGATCATATAGTCTCTTGCTAGCTTTAATTCTGTTATTTTGGATTTAAGAGTTCTAATTAAGCATTGGTTTTTAGCATCCTTAATCCCATTTTACTATTCTGGTTGCAGTTAGTAAATTGGGATTTTAGGAAAATATTTTGTGGCAACTCGAGGTGGCTCGGTTGTTGGATCAAAAGCTTAATTATAATTCTTAATTCATTGTTTTTAACTCCCACATCTTTTAGAGTGATGATTGTCTGCGTTGTTGAATTGGAGGATTGATTTTTATCAGTGTTATCTGTGTGTCTCATTTTCATTTCTTTAATCTCCATTCATTTTAATCACTTTTATATAAAAACAAAAAAAAGCATTTTAATTTCAATTTGATTCGTAGTATTTAATTAACAGCTTTTCAAAATCAAAAATCTCTTTTTATAGTTTAGGTTACTTGCATTCATTTACTAGGGTTTAATTTTGTTTTCGGCTCCTCAAAGTGAAACGACCCGAGTTTTGCACTATATTGTATTAATTCGGTTAATTTTTGGAGTAACCCCAAAGCGACAATTAAGGGCAGTTCAACTTCAAGTAAAATTTGATCCTCAATGTCGCCTTGGATCAAATTAAATTAAATTTAGAATGCAGCAAGTGATGCAAACCAAAGTCGTTCTCTTATTGGAGCCAAAAATTAACTAGGTCCTAAATTAACTAAAAATCAAAATTGCTATTAAAAAGGGGTTTTTTTTGTTTTTTTTTAATTTAAAAACTACTTTGTAAAATAAATTGAAAACAATTCTAAATATTTTTTTTGGATTTTTTTTAATATAAAAAAAATTGAAAAGATAATTTGAAATTGAAATTGAAAGAAAATTAATTAAAAAGTAGCAAATGAAAATTTTGGATTTTAAGGAGATATGAGATAATGCTTCTTGGAAAATGGAAATTGGGTTATCCTTGCTCAAAATGATTTGAGAGTTATTTTGTTCACTAATTTAAAATCAAAACCTTAATCACTGATTAAGTCAAGCAATTTCAATTAATAGATGTCCTAAAACTCTAGCTACAACTACCAATTAAAATTACCTTTGAAAACCGATTAGTGTGCAATTAGGATTAGATTAATGCAATTCGGGTCTCTATGCAAAGAACACTCAACTTGAGATATTCAATAAGTACCATACAATTATAACATTCATCCAAACTATGAAAAAATAGCATAACCATATAGAACTCCAAACTGGATATAAATATAAATCTCAAATTGCAAAATCCAATCTCAATCACAAAAATTCAATTCTAAACTAAGAATTACAACTAATAATCTCAGAAAATTTAATTAGATAATATCAATTCTAACTCAGAAAATCCATTACTCAATTAAATTAAAAGAATTGAAACAGAAAAACTCCCCTAATTAACTCTGAAGCTCAAACCCAATACTCCATCTCCAAGAAGCTCGATGAAATTAGCTGGACATGATTTCAAATTTTGCAACCACAGATTTGAAATGCACGGTAGCCATGGATGATCAGGAACGTGATACTGTCAGGCCGAATACAATGACAGAAGCAGAACAGGGCTTGCCGGCGGCAATGGCTATGGAATCACGACTCTGATGGTACGGTGGATGAGAAGAATCAGTTGAAGGTCGCTGCCTCTGCCGAGCTCTGTTTCCAGCTCCCAGTTCTCACCGCGTTGAAGACGATGGGGACAGGGGAAGGTGAGATGGGATGATAATGATTGTGGGTGATGGTGAGTGGAGGTAGCGTGTCGTGAATGGGGGGGTGGAATCCGTGAGATGATGATAAGCGTGGATGGGTGTGGCGTGTGCGTCGTGGAATAGGGAATGGAATGCGTCCTCTCCTCCTCGGTCATATATATATATATATATATATATATATAAAGGTGTATAATATCAAGCCTTGCCGCCACTGTTCCGCCCTTTTTTCCCTCCAGGAGGTGATAATGGTGCAACCCTAAATTCAAACCTTGCAATATCTCCCAAAATTTTCTATAACAAAATCTAAGATAATGTGATATGATATATTTTTTTCAAGAAGATCAATCAGTTAAACTAAATCATAAAAATATGATATTTTTACCCCTTTTTAGCACTATTTTCATCCAATCACAATTAATCCAATTTAATCATAATAAATGCAATTAAACCCAATTTAATTGATAAAAATCCCAAAGAAGATATGGAAAATCTATATAAAATCAGGATTTATCACCTTCTTATTATTACTATGTATTATGTTTCATGATTTATCGTCTATCCTCTATACTCTTTTACACTATGAGTATTTCTTTTCTTTTCTTTTCCTAAATGGCTTGAAGCCATATGGTTTAAATTTTTCTATTTTGTGGCCACAAACCATAAAACTTTGTTTTCTGCTTTATGACCAGAAGCCATAAAACTTTATTATTATTTCTTATGGCCAAAAGCTATAAAACTTTATTATTCTTTCTCATGGCCAGAAACCATAAAAACTTTGTTTTTCTATTTTATGGCCAAGGTCATAAAACTTTATTTTCTACTTTATAGCCAGAAGCCAAAAAAACTTTGTTTTCTTTCTTACAGCCAGAAACCATAATTTTGATTTTTCTATTTTAATGACCAGAAGTCATAATTTTGATTTTCTAACATATGGCCAGAAGCTATATAATTTTTAACTAATGACCAGAAGTCATTTAAATTTGATTTTATCTGATTAAATGGCTCGAAGCCATGTATATATTTATTTTGATTTGATAGATATGATTTTAAAATGCTTATATCCACAGAGACAATATACCAAATTTTGTCCCTTTCTCATTTAATTTTCTTTTCATTTGTTTTCTTTTTGTAATTTATGATTCTTTTTCTTTTCTTCTCATTAGCAAAGAGCAATGTAATTTTCATACATTCCAATTTTTTTAATATTATATTCTTTTGTGGTAGTATCATCATGTCAAACCTTACAAAACTTGAGTTTATGGCTCTTGACATTATTGGCAAGAACTACTTATCTTGGGTACCAGATGCGAAAATTCACCTAAATGCTAATGGTTTGGGAGACACAATTAAGGCAAAAAATAAGGCATCTAATCAAGAAAAGGCTAAAGCCATGACATTTTTACGCCATCATTTACAGGAATGACTAAAAATGGAATATTTGACTATTAAAGACCCACTCGTTCTTCGGAATAGTTTGAAAGAAAGGTATGATCATCAAAAAACTGTCATTCTCCCAAAAGCTCATTATGAATGGATGCACTTGCGCCTACAAGATTTTAAATCTGTTAGTGAGTATAATTCTGCGATATTTAGAATCAATTCTCAACTGAAATTATGTGGAGAAAAAGTCACTGATGAAGACATGTTAGAGAAAACATTCTCCATATTTCATGCATCCAATGTGCTCCTGCAATAGCAATACCATGAAAAAGGTTTCAAAAAGTATCCTGAACTAATTTCTTGCCTTCTTGTAGCTGAGCAAAATAATAATTTTTAATGAAAAATCATGAATCCCGTCTAACCGGCTCCACTCCATTCCCAAAAGCTAATGTAGTAGCAAATGGACTAACACGTGGTTGTGGACGAGGACATGGATGTGCATGAGGTCATCACATTAACCGTGGACGTGGTCGTGGTCATAATCGAGGTGGTTCAAATTCCTAGTCAAGGAGGGCAAAGAATGATGAGAATCGCAAAAGAAAGACTAGTGGAAGTAATAACCACTGTGAAGACTTGTGTTATTGTTGTGGTGGGAATGTTCACTGGTCATGTGCTTATCGTACACCGAAACATTTGGTTGACCTTTATCAATGATTGCTTAAAAATAAAAGTAAAGGCAACGGAAAAATGCCAAGGGTAGAAACCAATTTTGCTGATGAAGAGGGCGATTCTGATTATGGCAACATGGATATCACTCATTTGGATATTGCTAATTTTTTTGCTGATCCTAATGGAAAGATTGATCACCTAATTGGTGATGGGAATGTTCAACAATAAATTGCTTTAGTGAAGTTAAATTCCTCTATTTTTTTTCCTTTGTCATCTTCTTTATAAAATTTCTACTTTCAATGTTGTTATCTTTCCAAATTAATAAAATTATGAGTATTTTCCTTTTATTAATTTTGTTTTCCCCCCCTCTCTTGACTATGTTCCTTGTAACGAAGAATGTCTCCTATCGATGTCAATCATGAAGATTTATGTCTTGTTGACAGTACAACAACTCATACAATACTTAGAAATAAAAAATATTTCTCTTCTTTGGTAATGCAAGAAGCCAACGTTCAAACTATATCTGGAAGTGCAGAACTGATTGAAGGCTCCGGAAGAGCCAATATATTATTACTTGGAAGAACAATATTATACATTGATAGTGTATTTTACTCAACTAAGTCTAAAAGAAATTTGTTGAGTTTT